TAATTGTATTTTTTTTGTATATGATGGAGTGGCATCACTATTTTTTTGTGTGTAATATAATAAGTCACCACTCAGTACATGTCTCTTGCTATACATGCTGGGAGTAATTCTCACGATTTGTTCATTTTCTGTGTATATGGACATTGCACAGTAACTTCTCTTCTTTTGACTATACCAAATTTGAATTTAAGAGGCCCCTTAATTTGTCTAAAACCGGCTATGCTGGAGTTGCTGACTCACAGGCACTCACTAATATATGGTATGCAAAAAATATTAGGGCAAATCAATATGCTGAAATGAAAACCCATCTTTGGCATAAATATAACCTCCTTTAAGTAGGGACAGTAGGGATTGTCAGTTTCGGTCGCATCTGCAACACTGGATTAGCCGCCCCCTGCACCTAGAAGCAGCGCAGGATGGACATGTTTTACTCACAATGGAGTTTTAATTTGGGCCCATTGACACTTTGCTGGGTGAGTTGTGTCAATGCAAGTGCATTGTGTCACACTTTAATGTGTGGTGTTTTAATGTGGCCCAATCATTTTGAGTGGACTGCCAATGCATGAAAACGGACACAAAAAAGGACATGTAGTATTTTTTTCTGAAACCGCGCATATACGGTGCATATGCTTTAGAGCTGCAATGCCTTTGTTCGCTGGGGTGCTGCTCAAGATAACCAGCACCACATAACGTGTGTTAAAGTAACCACAAGATAGAGAGATAGATAGATAGATAGATAGATAGATAGATAGAGAGAGAGAGAGGACTAAGCCTGTTCACACTGTTGTGTTGTGGTAACACATACACGTTAACACACGTTACATTAATTTTAATAGCAACCCAACACAGTAAGGCAATCATCATGCATGTAGCGTTAAAAATGGCGCATGTCTGGTTTTTTAGACATTTGGGTGCATAAATGGAATCCACTAAGATGCCAAGGTGTGAATGGGACCTAATAAAAATGGATTAATTCATCAAGGCCCACTCTGTGTTTTGTTTCTTTTGTTCCTGCATTTCCATCATCTGGCTAATACCCAGCCTGCGAATGTTTGACAATACTCCAGTTCAGTATATTCCTGTATATATGGGTATGTGTGAAGCATGGCGACTTACGGAATTATATTTTGAGGAGCTTCTTTTGCTTGCAATAACTGAGAAAGTGCATATCCAGTGGCTTCTAATACCATCACATGAGGAGACTGGAATAGAAACGAGATGATACAGTCGGTTACATTACTCAGTTCTATGTATTACACACTTTGAAGTGATATAATCTATATAGTAAACCTCACCTGTAGGCACACCGCAAAGGCAGGAATCATTCCTTGTACGAGCAGCTGTTGCCTCACTGCCTCACTTTCCACAATAAGGTTACCCAAGGTATATAAACACAGCTCCTAGAAAGACAGATAATAAATACAGATAAATCTATCAACTTCATCCAACACAGACTATTAAAGCCCGCTGTTTAACAAATCAAAATTATAGTGTGGATGGGTAGCTGGCAGCCTCCAGTTCTGATTACAACCCCTCTGCACTGCAATCATTCTGGCCAAACACTGCTAGATTTTCACATGAACATTCATACTAAAAATCTTGCCAGAACATTTGATAATGACATCACAAACTGGACAAATGTCCTCAAAACTTTGTTGGATTCTAACATTCATTTTGGGATTGATTGGAGTTTCCGGAACGAAAACCACATTCACTGTTAGAATTTCGTTCATTCGAGAAAAATGTTCTATCCTGATCTTTTGATTTTTTTTTCGGCACTATGGTCAATAATGATGGTTGATTTGACCCCACTACTATAAGAGAATCGAATTTTACCAAAGCTGGGCATACACTGCACACATTATGGGTCCAAGTCCTGCTGATTTAGCCCCCTGGGACACCAAACCAAACCCCCCCCCCCCCCCCGCACCGCCT